GGGGGGGGGAGAAAGAAATATAATTGAATTCTGGTCCAATGGTTTCCTTTCTGTCTTTTTCTCCTTCATTTTTTTCCTCCCTTTTCCTTTCTCCCTCATTTCTTTTCATCTAATAACATCTATTGAGTGTTCTGTAGGCCTATGTAGCTCTCAGTAGAATACTCAGAAAATATAAAGCTAATCAATTCTACTGTTCTTCATCCTTATTTAAAAACAGATATTTGGATGGAAGCAAAAGAAGAGGTTTTCTAATTCAAAGCCAGATACTGGCCATTCTGTTCTTGTCTAAAAAAATTTATAAGGTGTAAACTTTAACATTCCATTTTGCCAACTGATAGTGTTAAAAAATGAAAAATGCCATGTTTCTGTGGTATATGCTTTAGATGTTAAAGTGTATGTGTCATCTATATTCATATTAGAATTAGAAGAGAGGTATGTTCTGCAAGTAAAAATTGAACAGGGTAATAATATCTAAAAAGAAAAGCAAGAAATTGAGTATTCTAATAAGCTTTGGAAATTAAAATAATTTTTTAAATTTAAAAAGTGCCTTAATTTGGACCAGTAAGTAATAAGAATGATTCTTAGCTTGGTTTGTTGTTTGTCTCTCTCCCTCCCCTCCCCTCCCCTCTCCCTCCCTTCCTCCCTCTGTCCCTCCTTTCTTTTCTTCCTTCCTTCCTTCCTTCCCTCCCTAGGCAAACGCACCAACACTGAGCTATACTCCCAGCCTTTAGTTTAAATTTCTTAAAAAACAGCCTCAAGCAAGGATTATGAGCTGGTGCTTAATTTGAGAGGTCAAATCCCTAAGCATCGAGAGTGAGAGGAAAGGAAAATGATTTGTGGTAGCATAAGAAGCAATGCATAATGAAGAGTTTAGCCTGCTGAGTACAATTCGACAATAAACTAGCAAATAACTGGGTACAAAGACATCTTTGACTGCTAATACAAAGCAAATATATCTTACTAGACACTTATAGAAGGAAGAAAAAGAGAATTTACCCACCTGACGCTGTCAGCTCATTTCTCACTGATTGCAGTTTGCCAGCTGGGAGGCAACTCACCCCTCAGTCCAGGTTGTGACATTCCACTCCTTCAGCAGCAGCTTCACAGTCACATGCAGTGCTTTCTGCTGTGACTTTTCATCCAGGCCCAGAAGTAGCAACAGAATCTAGAAATCAGGCTACGCCTTTCTGTTCTGGGTGGGCCCCACAGAGTAAGAGTCAGGCCTTGACCAGCCACAGAGTGGCCTGAAGGGAAGGAGTAGGCCGTGGAGGTGGCAGACGAGATGAAGAGATGAAGCCGACTGAGTGTTCATCAGATGATGGTGCCAAGAAAGTCTGAAGGGTTGCATAGGATACAGGATGTAGTGAGATTCTACAGTGGGTTCTGCTTTCTCCAGCCCTGTGCTTTCTACTGGCACCCCAATCTCAGCTGTTATTTCCTCGGCCTGAAATTTTTTTACTCCTTAGACTAATGTATGTTTAGTTTTAGTGATAGCATTCTTGAGTTTGTAATTCATTTTTTTCTAGAAGAAATCTCATCAAAGCTTTGTCTATTGATTGTATTTGGATGTATTATTAAATCTACTTAGTGAATTACATATGTCAAAACGACTTTTCTAGGCCAAGTTTGTTATTTTCTTCTTTTTACATGCAGTTGCCAAAGCAAATGTCTTCCATTTTCCTATGTTTTCTTGTTTCTTTTTTTTTTTTTTTTTGGTACCAGGGATCGAACTCGGGTCTTTGCGCTTGCGCAGCAGGCAGTGAAACCACTGAGCTAAATCCCCGGCCAGTAATTATAATCTTTATAAAGAACTTTTAGGAACTAAATCTATTTGGCCCTTCTTTTAATGTGCAAAAGATTTTACTTATTAAGATTAAAACATGTATTTAATATTGTATGTTTATTTTTTATTTTGAGATGTTATTTAAAATTATTGTATAAATAATCCACCTGCATTATAGGAAGAATGGAAAATACAAATAAAACTTAAGATTGCCTAATTCCACTGGGGGAGAAGTACCTATACTCCAGCACTCTGGGAGGCGGAGGCAAGAGGATTGCAAGTTTGAGTTCAGCCTGGGCAACTCAGTGACTTAGAGAGACCCTGTCTCAAGATAACCAAAATTAAAAAGGGCTAGGGAAATAACTCAGTGTAAAGACCCTAGATTCAATCCACAGTAGTAGAAAAAAAAACTACCTTACTCCTAGACTTAGACATAAACACTGTTATATTTTGATATATTTTCTAGACTTTTGTCATTTGTTATTCATATTATATATGATATGTTTTTAATAAAAATAGCACCATGCAATTCCTACTCTTTAGTTCTACTCTTTATACTTAATAACATCAAACTAGGGGCGGGGATTTAGCTCAGGGCATAGCATCTGCCTCCCAAGTGCAAGGTCCTGAGTTCAGTCCTCAGTACAAACAAAACAAAACAAAACAAAAACCATCAAACTATTTTAATTTCTGCACAGCATTTTATTAATTGGTGATTCTATGATTTATTTACCTAATTTTCCTCTATGAGACATAGAAGCTGTATCCAGTTTTTTTGGTCAGTGTAAATCAAGGTACATTAGAGGAACATTTTAAGTCTAAAGATATCTAAACTTATCAAGTTTTGTGTTTGCCATGTGTATTAATCTGTTTTCTTGGGGTTTGGGCCATTTGTAAAGAAAAGAGGTTCATTTAGCTCACAGTTCTCAGGTAGAGAGTTTGGCCACCTGGACTGGGTGTACTGAGGCCCTTGCAGTGGTTGACATCAGCATGGCAGGAATGCATGTGTGAGGGAGAGATGATGTCCTCAGACAGGAAGCCACAGGCAGAGAGAGGGCCCTGGTAGTCTGCCCTCGGAGAATTACATGAATCCCTTCCCAAGGTGCATTTCCAGCAACCCAACACCTCCCCCAAGGCCCTGCCTCTTAAAGCTCAATGACCTCCCAGAATTGCCGTGGTGATGACAAGCTTCTAACAAATGAACCTTTAGGGGACACATTCAGGTCATATCCAAACCAAAGTGCCATGTTGATATTGCTCTGTGCTCCTGTGGATCATGTGGATGGCCAGGAGTGCTGTCAGTGACTCGTGCTACTAAAAGTGTGGCCCACTTTGTTAACAAACATCAGCAGGGTAAGGAGGCTGCACCTGAACCTTACTTCATTCATTGAGAGATTTTAACTACCAAAATTTGAAGAAGACAGCAAGGAAGAAGGAGAGGGGTGGGGGAGGGAGGAGAGGGAGGCTAACTTAAGCACTGTATTTAGAAATAGTTGATTTTAATTCTACTGTAAAATTCTTATCTTAGGCTGTTATCATAAGCTGCAAAGCACATTATTTGCAAGTTTCATTGCAACTTATATGTAAGGAAAAACACCTGCACTTGGCTCAATCTGTTAAATATTTATTCTAAGAAGATGTGAAGGATTCTCACTGGTGCCCCAAGAAGCTTGGAAAACTATTCATAACATTATGAGTACAAAGAAAACTGTAAAATGGAAATGCCACAGCATAATTGCTATCTGTCCATAGCAAAATGGTGATTTGGAGGGGGCGGGGGTTGAGACATGGTCTCCCTTTGTAGTTCAGGGTGGTCCTGAATTTACTATGTAGCCCAGGCTGGCCTTGAACTCTTGAACTCATGGCAATTCTACGCCTGGCAGCAAAATGGTGATTTTAATTTGTGAGGAACAGTTTTCGAACAGAAAAGCAGAACAAATTTATTCACTTAGCAAATACTTGTGGAATACCTACTATGTGCCAAGAATTGCACTGTGTGCAGGGCATACAGAAATGGATAGGCCGTTGCCCCTGACCTTGGCTCACTTGGAGAGAGAGAAAGTCTGCTTAGAAGAGAATCCAGAGTTAGCTGTACCAAGAAGAGCAAAGGTCTTCCAGGCAGAGGATAAGCCCAAATGCAGGGGAAAAGTTGCTTTACAAATTGTCATTATTTTTGGAGTTTTGGAAAAAAATGACTATAAATTCAATAACTTTTCTGGAAATACTTTGAAGGACAATATGATACCTAAGAAATAATAAAAAGTAGCAAGTAAATCAAAACCTGTAGACAAGCAGGTGTGTAAAGTAGTAAGAGAAGTAAATAATACTAACATCTTCCAACATTAGCTAAAATTGAATGAACAGTACGTAAGACTGAAAATAAATGGCCAAGAAATATTTAAAATAACCTTCAAAGGTGTCTGTTGCTTATTAAGCTCACAATTGCAAGCTTCTTTAGATACCTGGTTACTTTGTTTTAAACTAAATGATGTTCACTGATAATTTTCAAGTTACTGTAATATAATTTTTAAACATCTTAAGTCATAAAACTGAACTGTTGCTACAAAGTGAGAAACATTTTAGGTATATATAATGAATATTTTTGTTTTTGTTTGTGCAGAAACAGTTAAAGTTTGAAAATGAATCACACATACCCTGTAAGAATTGAACTTGTCTCTTTTGTTATAAGGATTTTCAAAATATTAACTAATTTTGTTGTTAATCATTCTTGAAAAAGGATGCACTTTACAAATGTGTTACAACAGATCAAGGAAAGGAGTTTTGCAACAGATACATGAATGTGAGAATACTGCCTTGCAAAAGTAAAATAGTCAATGAGTAGTGACAATAGTATCGCTAATGTGTCCATTGGGTAGAGAATATTGAGTAATTTTTTTTCCCTTCCCCTGTTCCCAGCTTTCCTTGTTGCACCAAATGAAGAATCAGGAAATGAAGCAACTACAATATCTAATTCTGTGGGGTGTGCTCACAGTTCATTACATTTCATTTACATCATTAACTTTTTAAAAGCTTGAGATAGGCCAAGCTGTATCAGATCTATCATATTCATTATTAATGCAATATTACCCCCATCAGCATTGGCTTTGCATTGTGTCTCTTTTCACTTGGAAAGTATCATTTGCAAGTTACCTGAATCGTTTTTATTTATTGACCTCAAGGTGTCTGATTACCTTTTCCACTTCACATTGTAAAAAGTTATTTGTGTCATCTATTTTCCCATAAGTTGAAATATTTTGTTACTTCCTTCAAGAATAAAATAATGTCCAACAGTAGAAAACTTTATTCCTTGCTTATCATTTTACAGATATCCAAGCCAGTGACATTATTTATTATTAAATGGGAATACTGTGTGTACCTGGAATGTCTCCAGCTTTCTGTTTAGTTTCTGTTTGGTTTCTACATTTTTCCATGTATAGTCTCTTATTTATATACATGTAGTTACTAAATTACTAGGTTTTTATGAGTATTTTACTAGATTAGTTTAATAAAAGATAGTGTTTCAGAATTCCAAACATATTGTCATAGTGTTTCAGTCCTGGGTGTTGGGCAGGGGGAGCAGGTATTCGTTAATTAATCATTTTCCATTCACTGCTTGCAATGAATTACATTTTGGTAAATGAAATCACACAAGCTGACCAGATAGAATGTTTACTTTATAATTTTATGGTATATAAGAATGTGTAATTGATTTAATAACCTTTTCAGTGAATAATGGAGATTTTGTTTGATTTTATTGCAGGATGGTGTGGTTCTTGTTCATTGTAATGCAGGAGTTTCCAGGGCTGCTGCAATTGTAGTAGGCTTCCTGATGAATTCTGAAGAAATCTCATTTAGCAGTGCTTTTACTTTGGTGAAAAATGCAAGGCCTTCAATACGTCCAAATTCTGGCTTCATGGAACAGCTTCGTACATATCAAGAGGTCAAAGAAAGCAATATGTGGGACAAACTATCAGAATTGGAACAGGAAAGCAATTTACAAGTTGCAAATGATGGACAAATGTAATTTTGAATTGGTCTTTGTACCTATCTTTCCTGTTTTGGAAAATAGGCTACTAAAAATTCCTTTTCTTTTGTTTTCCTCCAGTGAAAACTGAGGTCACTTTGATTGTTCTGAGCTAATATATGAAATATATTTTTAAATTATATTACTTTCTTTTCCCCCGGTACTGGGGATCAAACTCAGGATCTTGAGCTTGTGAGGCCACTGAGCTAAATCCCCAGCCCTTAAATTATATTACTTTGTCTTTGATTGTTTGTGTTGCTAAGGAATAATAACAGTATTACCAATTATTGATTTCTGTTGAAGAAAAAGGTTTACTTTTACAATCTGTATTAGAGCATGGAAAGATTAAATCAGTTAAGCATTTTTAAAGTATTTTTCTTTCAGTACTTTTCTTTTCCAGCCCATTTTCATATGGGAAAACCTTGAAGTGCTACTTGACATACTATTTAAGAGGTAAAGTTTTTTGTAAAGAATAGATTTAAGATTAAAATGAATACCTTCAAACTCCCAAATGAGTACCAGAATCTAAAGATTTGTACAACATTTACATAGTAGCGACAGTATTCACAAAAATTTTTAATTCTCTTATGAAAACATGCCCACTTTTCATTATTAAATTAAATTCATTAAATTAAAAATTTAATTCTATTGCTTGCATTTTTTAATTTTCAAAATATTTGTATAATGCTCTTTCTTACATTATTATGAGCTTATGGTTCTTTAATAAGGTGATATTTTTCTCTTACATGTTGTATTTTTTATCTTGGATGCCTAGCTTGCTGTCATAATTTTTTGGTCTCTTTGGATCTGTGAGAAAATGTTTTATACTGAAAGGTCATTTTTTAGATGTAATTTGTTCAGTGATCTGTTTTATAGTTTAGCATTTTACTGGAGAATGTATTTTAAGGAAAGAAAATTAATGGTTTTGAAATAAATTTTAAATAATTATTAGGAGCGCTAATGTTATTTACAATTTTATCTCTGGAAAGAGCCTTTGGGTAGTTTTTATTTCTTTTTCTTAAATGTTTCCATATTAGCATGATTGAACTCTGTGCATTGTAAATTTACTTCAAGATTTAAATTTTTTCTTTCATATAAATTATCCTAAATTTTAGTAATTAAGACAATTTAGTTTTCAAGAAGTCTTTGATGACTTCACAAAAATGATTATCAGGTAGATTTTAGTTTAAAAATTCCTAACTCTTCTTAAATACTGAATGCATATGTTGGAAAGTATACATATCTGTGCATTTTGGAAAGCAGGCCTTTTTACACTGTCATGTGCAAAAACTAGAAGTGATAAATAAAAGTTGTGTCTGGAGATTGCTCATAGTCTGACAAGATGCCATTGCCTATAATGCTGTGAATTCTTCACTTCCATGAAGAAGCAGCCCAAAGGTAATTAACCTATAGAGAGCTGTTGAAGCCAACAGAGCCAGGCAGAACCCCCTTAAATAAGAGACTGATACATGATGTCTCCATCATCAGTATTGCTGAGGGTTGCTGGATGAGCCTTCTGTGTTCATATGAAAGTATTTATTTAAGTGTATTTTCTTTTGCTGAATGCTATTTAATTTTCAACTAAATGTTGTCACATGAAGCTTTGATATAATTTGATCATAGTCTATAGTTTGTATGCTTAGTTGTTGCATGTAGTGATCTAGTTACTGCTTGAAGATGTTTATTAACTATCATCTACAGAAGTGCTTTGAGCATTAATTTTGTCAATCTTTTTTTTTTGGTACCAGGGATCCAACTTGGGTCCTTGTGCTTGTGAGGCAGGCGGCAGAACCACTGAACTAAATCCCCGGCCCTAAAATTCAATTTTATGTATATATTATATAATATATATCCTAAGGTGAATAAGTCAGTGTATTACAATGAGTTTGGTACTATTCTTCCCATAATTCAGATGAAAAAATAAGTCTTCGAGTTATTAATATCACATAACTATTAGATATTTAAAGCAAGATATTTTACCTGTGTTCAGAAGAATACTAGTTCTCTAAATGAAGACAATTATCAGGAATGAATGGTTTTTTCACTCTTAGTTTTCACATAAGCTAACACAGAATGTATGACTTTTGAATGTCTTAGAATTTAAGCTTGTCTTTTTTGAAAAAATTTGGGAAAATATGAAATATACACAGAATTATAGAGAATATCATAATGAATTGCCACCAACATTTATTAACTCATTGAGGGTGGAATAGGGAGGGAAACCATGTATACCAGTATCCCTCTTCTAGCCTTTCTGCCTTCCCTCCTTAGTAGATTATTTCAAGGCAAATTCCCGGCAACTCTTTCTAAAATCAACCCTTACCCCAGTTTGTCCATTTTGTCTATTACAAGCTTTCTCCAGCCTTTCAAATACCTGTTAAACCTATCTAATAGTTGAAATAGAAGACAAGGAATCAAATCACACTTGATAGTTTTATTAAAAAAAGTTATGCAGGTTTTGAAGGTAGGTTATGTAGGTTTTGAAAGTTTATGTAGGTTCCAAAAGATGAAAGGGTTCATTTAATTGATTTAAAGATAACAGGGTTGGGGATTTAGCTCAGTGGCACCGCATCTGCCTTGCAAGAGCAAGGCTGATTCCTGGTACCAAAGAAAAGATAATAGGTGAAATCTGCAAAACTAATGTTTCTTTTGATGTTTGGCTCTTTTTTCCCCCCAGTTTTTTACTATAAAGAAATTGTCAAAAAGTAAAAAAATAAAATAAAAAATAGTCACATTTGAAAATTTTCACATGTAGAAGTTTATTTTATTTTTATTTTTTGGTACCGGGGATCAAACTCGGGTCCTTGCACATGCGAGGCAGGCAGTGGCACCACTGAGCTAAATCCCTGGCCCTATTTTATTTTTTAAAGACATGGCTCCTGGGATTGCTTGTAGAGGTCAGACAGTGCAAATAACAATTGTTTTTTATTTTTGATGTGGAGATGACCCCCAGATCTTAAAACACCCTAAAGCTCTTTTGAAGATCCTCTGTCCTTGGGCCCTGCCAAGTAGTGGTTTGTCTGTGTGCATTGTGTGACATCACAGTCTGAGTGGCCCCAGAGCCATCTGAGCTGCCCAAGGCCGAGCCCTGAGATCCTAAGAGCAGGAGTGGTAGAATGCTCCTTCCCTTTGCTCTCCATCTGAAGAAAACAAACCATCTATTTTGCTAAAGTCATACTAAAGGTGGATATCTTTCTTCTTTACTTCAATTCTAAAAAATGTTTTGCTTATTTATAGACTTCAGCTTTTCCGAGCAACAAGGTGGTTTTATATTTAGAGATAAATACTGCATAGGAATAAACAAACATTTGATGAATAATCTGTATATGATAGACACATAGGCAGTGGACATACCGAATTTATTGAAAATACATTTAGAAATTTTGTTTCTGAATTTTTCAAAATTAGTTTGAGTTTAGAAGAAAGTTGAAAGTTAATTTTCAGGTTGAGCTTTCTGTAGCCCCAGAGTTTCCACCTGCATTCCAGGCGTCATGCTAGAGGTTATAAGAATAACCTACAAGGGCTGGAGATTTAGCTCAGTGGTTCTGGTGCCTGCCTCGCAAGCACAAGGTCCAGAGTTCGATCCCCGGTACCAAAAAAAAAGAAAAAGAATAACCTTCGGGGGCAAGAATCTGAGCTGGGGCTGTTTTTCTCTTGCTGTTTTAAAATTTTCCAACCAGAGAGGTTCTCTTGTATTTCCTAGGCAGCTGCAATTTATGGTCACCACAAGATTAGATAAAATAAGCTAGAAGACCTTAAATCCTTCCATTTATAAAATTCCTACTCTTTCCTGTTGATAGTTTGATGCAGTTCTTTTCCAATTTTTCCCTTTACTTAAAGCTCTTTGTTTTTAATCTCCCCACCTGGCCATCTATACCCACTATACATTTTGGTTAAATAAAAGTCATTATGCTATATAGATATATATTTATTTTTTCAAATTATTTCTTTTATATAGATCATATAGATCATATAGATCTTTCTAGGCCAATACATGTACATACAAATATCAAATCTATCTCATTCTTTTTAACAGATGCATAGCATTATTTTGTTTGGCTAGATCATAATTTATAATAGAAAATCTTTGAGGGCTGGGGATTTAGCTCAGTGGCGCTGTGCCTGCCTGGCAAGCGGAAGGTCCTGAGTTTGATCCCTGGTACCACAAAAAAAAAAAAAAGAAAGAAAGAAAAAAATCTTTGAGGAATCTTTCTTGATTTCTTAATTCTAAACAAGCAATGTGTGATGGGCTGATTAATGGTACCCACAGATATCCATACCTTAAAATCTAGAACCTGTAAATGTATCTTATATGGCAAAAAAAAAAAAAAATTTGCAGGTGTGATTATTACCTTAATTACTTCAACTGGATATTGAAATAGGATTATTCTGGATTATCTGAGTGAGTCTTAAGTACGGTTTATGTTCTTAAAAGAGGAGACAGCCCACACCTGTAGTCCCAACACTCTGGGGGCTGTGGCAGGAGGTTAGCAAGTTCAAGCCCAGCCTGGGGGCCAATTTAACAACTTAGAGAAAGACTGTCTCAAAAAATAAACGAGTCGTTTGTAGGTAAATGGATGCACCTCGATACCATAATGTTAAGTGAAATAAATTAAAAATACAAGCTTAAATATCACATGGTTTTTCCATATGAGAAAGCCAAAATACAAAGAGCAAAATAAAAGATAATATAAAAAAGAATTAAAAGTAAAATCCAATAAAATGGGGATGTAGTCCTGGTTCAATCCCTAGTACTAGTAGGAGGTAGGGGTGGGGGATAGGGAAGAGGAAGAAGAGAGATTTTACTAGAGAACATGCCATTCACAATATACAACACGCGGTACATTATTTTTATAAAGTTTGTAAACAATAAACTAAACAATATATTCTTACATAAACATAGAATGTTTGTGTGACCAGTACATCAATATTCCCTAAAGAAAAGCAGCAAAGTGAGCGGAGAAGGACGACTGGGATGGCATTTGCAGGAGCGCCCAAGATTCCACGGTGTGTTGGATTCAAAGGTGTTACTCTCCATTAATTTATATTTACATTTGTTAGCTATATTCTTTTGTATGTGTTGATACACAATAAAACAGCATGTAAGTTATGCTTTAAAATTGTTCCCACATAACTGTAAAAGAAATAGATACAGATGGTAGAAAATATATTTTGAGAAAGGTGTCAAGCATAAAGCACAGAAACCCACATTGGAACGAGGAACCCACTGTTTCACCAGGCCTACTTTTCCAGGTGTTACTTAGAAAAGCCCACTATGATGACAGAGCAGTGGGGGAACTCTTGTTAGTTAATTATGAAACAGTGAGACTCAAGCACCATCAAATTAGGAGATTCACACAGTGATCAAAATATATACCGTTACATTTACCACTTTGGTTCATCACGTCCCAGGGAAATCCTTTTGTCCCTACTCCAAGATGACGCCAGCGCCCGCACTGTCAGTACGACGCATGTCTGGAAGTTACGCAACCCGCTTACGTAGCGCGCCCTAGCCGTGGGGAGAGTTTCCGCCATTTTTGAAAATTGGGAACGTCTGGTGATAAGAGTAGCTACCGCCGTCGCGATGGCAACCTTTGCCGTAGAACCCCAGGCGCCCACGTTGGGTGAGTTAAAGACTGCTTTTCCTTGCTATAGCTGCCATTCGCGCGGCAGGCCTGGAGCCGGGCAAGACTGGAAGCCAGAAGTCAGCTGTCTCTTGTATGCTGATTTCCTTTGCGGAGGGGGAACCTCTGGGTCTCCCCAAATTCCTAATCTGTCCCTGCTAGAGGCTTCGCGAAGCGGCAGGCACTGGGAGGGTGAGGAAATGCCCGTCTGCGTGTTGTGTGTCCCCCAGCACTGGCTCCGCGGCTCAGGCCGGGACCTGGGGCTCCCCACCACGCCCCAGTCGGGGCGCTGGGTACCCGGCTCCCCGGAAGCGTCCCTGGGAGAGACTGAGCCGTGTCCACGTGGGTGGGCAGGGTCCTAGGGTACGGTTCCAGTCCCCTGCTAGTTGGTCACCGAGGCTTCTCGTTGTTTTGACTTCTTCCCTATCGCGGGGATTGCGAAAGAATCTTTTAATGGAGGTGAATCGTGTGACGATAGAATTAACCAAGTGGTGGTAACCATTGAGTATTGACCCAACTACTGGCTAGGAGTTTGTAATTTTTCCTCTCATCTTTTTTTTGGGAACGTGGCTCTATTGAGGTCTTTTCCTATTAATCACGATATGATTATTATTGGGGGAGTCTTGTATGCTGACATACAGATATTCCTTATTTAACGACCTACCTGTTTAATGACAGTTCGGACTTTTGACCGAGGTGCGCTGTTTGGATTTACGATACCCTCCTCGGATGTCTTTTTTTTTTGGTACAATTCTGTACATCTTGTTGATAGAGCCTCAATGCCTTGTACGTTACACCTTATTTATGCAGTAGTATAATTTTTGCTGATTACACTGTACAGTACTGCAGTCTTATGTTCTGTTATACATTACAGTACTGCACGTAAGAGTTATGCAAATAAAAGCAAAGTCATCAAGTTGGAAAACCTTCAGACCATGTCTTTGTTCTGAATATTGTAATGTACAAATTATATACAATCCCTCATTTAGCGACCTATTCTTTTAATGACCTAGTCGCAGAAAGGGAACTTGATCTTTATAGTGGCTGTAGCCTATTGTATTTTAGAAACAGTCATTAAACATACTGTGCAAAGCAATACAGCATTCATGAAAAGACAAATGTGGGGGCCGGGGATTTAGCTCAGTGGTTCAGCGCCTGCCTCGCAACCGCAAGGTCCCAAGTTTGATCCCCGGTACCAAAAAAGAAAAAAAAAAAAGAAATCTTTGGGCCGGGGATTTAGCTCAGTGGTTCTGGCGCCTGCCTTGCAAGCGCAAGGTCCCATGTTCGATCCCTAGTACCAAAAAAAAAAGACAAATGAGTTCAAAATATGAATTATTTCTATAATGTCTGATACTGGGGAAAAGGAAGTTACTTGTCGTTATGTGATTGCTTCTTTGGCCCAACACCGGAAAAGTATATGGTTTGCTGTTTTGATGCAGAAGGGAGAGATTTGGAGCACGGTCTTATGGGACCTGTTGATCACATATAGTACAGAAAAATTTATCAGTGCACTCTTTCTGTTGAGCTAATTTCTAAGGACTATTTGCTCCCAACAGTTCCTCAGATGATAATAAAACTGATTCTGTTGGAGTTAAATAAATTCTTGGATATAAACAAACTCATTAGAAGTGATGTTACCTTTGAAACTTTTTGATGTGTAGAAATGTCTCATATATAGGTGCACATATTTTCTCAAAGGTTATATATACACTTTGAAACCACAGGAAACAATTGAACAATTATCACTGTTTTTTTTTAAATTTATTTATTTATTTATTTTTTTAATCACTGTTATTCTTGCCTCTGTGATTGTTTATGTGTTTAATTTTTGTTTTACACTCCTGGCTAGTAAGCCCTTTGCCACATACTTTATATGTCTTTCTATCCTCCAACGTATTTACTGCAGAGGTGGACAGAGCAATGGCTCCATTGATGGCAGTCTCACTGTCAAAATTTGACATTTCCAATGATTTTTACAGAGTCAAGCAGGTTCATGGTTCTGTAATATCTTAGTAGATTTTAGTTTCATTGGTCCCTTCCAATGACCTGCAGAAGCTCCTTTATTATTTAGCCAAAATTGCTAGTTCAAAACATGCCTTCCAGGGCTGGGAATTTAGCTCAGTGGTGCCATCGCCTGCCTTGCAAGCGCAAGGTCCTGAGTTCGATTCTCATGCCAAAAAAACCAAAAAAACATGCCTTCCAGCAATATCAACTGTGTGATCAATGTAGCCTTGAATTCACAGAAGCTGCTAAGATGCCAGGAAAGGGCCTGTGAGGAAATATAGGAATAGAGGCTTTATTGATTTGCTGAAGATCATATCCGGATTGCATCTGTTTTGCAATCATGATTATTGATGAACACTTTCCATGTCATTGCTATGTTATAAGATCCTGGATTTTCTGAGTTATTTTCACCTCTGCCTTTTCTGACATGTAAGGAATCAGTATTGCCTGAACTCAGCTGATGTGATGATTTGTTGGTGGCTCCTGTATTTTATTTTCAGAGTTATTGCAGAGCATGTGTTCTTAAGGAAAACAAATCATATTCATTGAACTATTTTGATAATATGATGTCTAATACAGACCTTGTTTAGCAGCCTACCTGTTTAGCACCTCTTCGGACTTATTACCATAAGGGGTGCTGTTCAGACTTAGGACCCACTGCTCAGACTTATGATCCATCTTTTTTTTTTTTTTTGCGGCACCGGAGATCAAACTCTGGACCTTGTGCTTGTGAGGCAGGCACAGCGCCACTATGCTAAATCCCCGGCCCATGAGTTCGTCTTTTTTTGTAGTTACATACATTTTGTTTATAGTATAACTTGTTTATACATACTGTAATTTTTTGCTGATTGTATTGTACAGTATATTACCGTAGTTTTATGTTCTATACATTACAGTACAGCATGTAAGAGTTATGCAAATGAAAGCAAGTCATCAAGTTGGAGTTTTCTTTGACCATTTCTTTATTTTGAATATTGTGATATACATACTACATACAATTCCTCATTTCGATGAATTCATATAATGACTTTGTTATGGTTTTGTTCTAGATGTCCCCCCAAAGCCTCATGTGGTCATAGGGCTGATAGAGAGTGTGTGAAGCTGGAATTGATTCATGATGCAATGCTGGGCTCAAGGGCACTAGGATTAAGGGTGTGAGTGCTACTCTCCCTGCCTTAAGTAGTCTGAATAAGATAAAACGGGCTGGGAGACACTGTTAAGGCTCTCTTGCCACCTTTGCTGCCTTGTGTGCGCCATGTTGTTTCTGTTCGGTGTTGCTTGCTTCCCATCCCA